TCAATCTTTTATTAATTGTATAGAATTTAGATTATAATAGACTAAAAATTACATATTTAATTTGAACATTCGCTATTACATTAGTTCAAACGCTCTATTACACAACACACACACACACCCACACTTTCACATTGACATTTGACACTCAGCAGCCATCTTTGTAGCTAAAACTAAGCGCATGCGCAACTTTAATCTCTAAAGTATTAGTCTTAGAATGTATATTAATAAACATATTAGTCTTAGAATTATTACGTATTGATAATTCTATGATATTAGTGTAAAAAAATTACATTTTTTAACTTAAAGTTAAAGGAAAGAAATAATATGATATCTGTGACTATTGTGTTCATAATATTTTAATCAAAAGTAATCAGTACCAGCTAATTTTAAAATTATTAAAGATTTTTACTGGCATCATTTAAAAAGATAAGGGCTGACTGCTATCACTCCCAAAATGCCGTCCACTAAAATCTGCCAGCCCTGGCCATGGCCAATGTTAAAACTTTTAAAACTCAAAATATTTCAATGTAAACATAATGGCTGGTAACTCTAAATGCAGACAAAAACTGACAGTATTGTGCATTAAATCAAGTAGTAAACAAGCTAGTCTACACTTTTAAGAAATTAAACTAAGCAACGATAAAAACTTCAACACTAGCTGCAAATTGATACATTAATATCATCGGACACGTGAGAAACAGTTTTGCTTAAAACGTTAAAAAGAATTGTGTAGACGAAGACAAAGTGGTTTAAAGTTATTGAAGGTCACTACCGCAGCAGTATTAACAAATTTTTTTGTCATCAACGGTGTACTATTTAATAGATTTTGTTTTCTAAAATGCTTAAATCACTTAGTTTTTACTGTTGAAAACTTCTATATTATATTGAAATATTCCGAGAGTTATATATAGCAATATTTGTGGTATATCACAAGACACTTCATAGTTTTGTATCACTTAAGCACTATTTGTCACAGGACTGCAGTCCGTCGTCCATCCTTCATCTGTTCTCTTCTTCAGCGACCCTCGCACATGTTTCGCAATTGGCATGCGACCGAAAATTGTTGTTATTGTTCTTCCGTCGTACAGCGTGATTCCGTTCCCTGGACGGAAATTTTTGTATTTTCTTCTCTTGCGCTGTAACCTCTTTCTCGCTTTTCGTTATCCGGCGGTATACTTCCGCCCACTCCATCTGTTTCATCGCCAGGCACATGATATAATCAGACGTCTGTCCGCGGCGACAGCTACACTGATTGTGTCGTATTGTTTTTCGATTTCAATGCGCTTGCGACACAACAGCCCGGGCTCAAGGTTGATAATTTTTTCCTTACAAGAGTTTTATGTCGCGTGTGTACAGAAAGAATGAAAGCTAAGTGGGTTCGATTGGTGTTATCGATGACCCGAACATCGAACGGTTCAACGTCTGAGCGATAAGAGCTGTTTGTTCGGTTGCTTCGTGTAATTTATGTTTATTATTTCAAACAGCTACCCGAATAATACTTATGTTAATAGGTTTTGATGTATTGTCAAGAGTATATATTATCGTTTTGTTTTTAATGTTAATAAAGTATATTCTTACAATAATACATTTGTTCACGATCCCTCGTAATCGAAGAGTGTATAGCCGGGATTAGGATGCAGTGTCATGACGTCATGTCGCATTTGAGTTGCTAATATTTCAACTTTATTAACTTTTTCTTTTATTTATAGGACAGGGTGACAAACGAGCATACAGTCCACCTGATGGTAAGTGGTTGGTGTGGAACATAGACATCTACATCTATTCTCCATTAAGAATTAAAATGCAGATGAGTTCCTCGGTCGAGCCGACCCATTCTTGCTACAACTTTACTACCTATAAAGCTGCAGCACGGCTCTACTACGCATTCGTATTGTCTTTCCAGCCATTATTTCCTCACCAGCCCAAAATGTTGACTGTTTCCAGTTCAGTATTTCCCATTGGAATGATCCCATCCGTGTAACGGTGTAGGGATCCACTATCCCATATCGTCTCGTAGGTGTCTAAAGAAGCGACAGAGGGAAACTGAAACAGATTCTTAATCATCATCATCATCATCGTCATTACAGCCCTTCACAAGTCCACTGCTGAACATAGTTTTCCCCCAAGGTATGCCACAAAGCATAGTCCTGAGCCACCTGCATCCATCGACTTCCTGCATGTCTTACCAGGTCGTCACTCCATCTAGTAGGGGGTCGCCCTACACTTCGCCTACCGGTACGAGGCTGCCACTCGAGAACCTTTTTTCCCCAACGGTTGTCGGTTCTTCGAACTATATGGCCGGCCCATTGCCACTTCAGCTTACTAATCCGTTGGGCTATGTCGGTCACTCTGGCTCTACTGCGGATATCCTCATTATATATATCCTCCTCATACGGCCAGCAGTGATGGACCACGTCTCGGTTCCATAAGTCATCACTGGCAACACGCACTGGTTGTACAACTTAGTTTTCGGGTTTTGAGGTATACCTGACGAGAAGATGTGTCGTAATTTTCCGAACGCTGCCCAGCCGAGTCTTCCGAATCCGAATCTTCCTAATAACTACTCAAAATAATAAAAAAATGCGGTTACCAACTCCCTTTCCAAGTTTGGCTATGCAAAAATCCCCCGTATGGTGGAGGCCTATATTCAGTAGTGAACTATATAGGCTGCGATAGATGGATGGATAGGTATGAAGGATGCCTACACTTGACAGGCAGTTTGGTGATCGCCGTACGAGATGTCTCACGGCGTGATGTCGCTCCCCATTAGTAGATATACCGCCATCTATCGAAGGATATAAGATCTTTACGGGACTCACCATAGACGACTCGGAACGGGTTGGTGAACTCTGTTATGCCAACGCTACACGCAATGTCAAATCTAGGCACATATTAGTTTATTCATGGATGTAATTTTTTTATAGGATAAGTGACAAACGAGCGCGCAGTCCATCTGATGGTAAGTGGATGCTGTGCTTCAGGCAATTACGTTACTTATCTATCCTTGATCAAACGTCATAACATAGATGCGTTGACACCCATAAGGACTAAGGTAGAACGCCACGTCAAAAATAAAAGGGTCTTTAATTACTTCAGCTGCAGTACGTTGGTTCGAACCTTTGATATATCGAAGTACACTAGCCACTTATCCTAATGTGTGAAATGAGATTCGTTCGTTCTTTTTAAAAATACAGTTTAAATTATATTTTGCAAGTGACCTCGGCGCACGTGATAAAACCTTCACTTTAAATTGTGTTTTTGGATCAACGAAGCTATTTTGTGTAACGTATGTGTTTCGTATATATAATTTTTTAGTGTTTATAAAATCTAGGATAAAATCGCAATGATAAATGCGTAATTCTTAATTAATTTAATTGAATATCTATCAGTTATCAACAATTTAGGTAGAGTCGTAATATTACAATCATTTGCAAAAAACGGACGGTTTAGATTTTTTTCCTGCCTGAAAAAAATACTATGCAAAAGAAGTTTTAATCATTTGAACATGTTGCTGGCCGGTTATAAAATTGCGAGATCCCGAATGTTTATATCGTTAAATGCTTCGTCGCTTGGAGGCTAAATGTCGTCGTTCCGTCTAGAGAAAACCATGTACCGAACGACGGGAGGATCGTTTTCTGGTGAGTCTAGCGTGGAACCTTCGTATGTGGACCTTAGACTAACCTCGAAAAAGTAAGAAATGTCAGTACAAGGCTTCTCACTGCCAATATATTAATTACCCCTACAGTCCGCGGCTGTAAATTACCCCATGAGCACTGAATTGCCAGGTTTAGCTTCGCTCGCAATTATGTGTCATGGATGCAATAAGACCGGGATAAGGTTGTTCTCTGATGAAGCCACGATATCTCTGTATTGTGAAGATCGACATTGGCGAGTGCTGCGAAGACGATGAGGATACTTTACAGAGGCATGTTTTGAAGAAATTGTACCTTTTAGTGGGGTTCTGTTATGTTTTGGGCAGAAATAAATCCGTTTTATTGTACGTAGTTAGTCTGCAACAAACAGCACACTGACTGAAATCTTATACATACCAGAATTTCTAATTCCTCAAGTAAAACCCGTATTGTTCGCTCTTGGCGAAAACGAAATATTTATAGAAGAAAACGCTTGCGCAAAATTCATCGTTTGGATAGGCCAGCTCGAAGTTCTCACCTAAATCCTATAGAGCAGGTCTGGCACGTCCTAAAGCGACGATTGATATCAGTGCAGCTGACTACGCAGACCATCAGAGAGCTAAAGAATGTGATTACCGCGGGGTGGGAACGTATTTCGCTAGAAGAATCCATAAGAGATATACTTGCTAACATGCCGAGACGAATGCAATATGTGATTTCATGAAGAGGTCATCTACACGCTTTGAACCTTGACATTATGTTATAATTAAACTGAACCGAAAACTATTCCTTGCTAATTTACAAAATTCTGAGTAAAAGACTGTTTAAAATTATCAAACAATCCAATAGTAACAATAAAATTGTTTTTTTTTTGCTTAGATGTACGTTTTTATTTTGCTCAAGATTTTATATTCCACTCCATTGCTATAAGTATTATGAACGACGAAACCATAATAAATAAAATTAAGTAAATAGAACTGAACTTAAATTAAATATTATATGATGTTCTTGTTGGTCAGATGATAATATCCTGTACAGACTACATATCATATCATAGATATTCTTAGAAAATTAAGAGATCACATTAAGTGAAATATGACAATAGATAATAGTTTCATAAATTCGTTCGCTTTATTCCAACATTACCAAAAGTAAGTTATACTAAGTAAGTAGTTAAGTACCTAAATTAACTACTTAATGAGTATAAAATTCGAGTTTAACCGAGATATAGCTATTTAACTTAACTAACAAGTAACGACTTATTTTTGTTTCATTATACTACTCAAACTTAAATCGTTCAGTTTAACTTTTTATAAAATCTGAAAATGTATAAAGTTGCAAATACAATTTTATCTTTCTCTAATACACTTACCTCCATGGATGCGAGATGAAACCAGGACACAATTCAGGACAGTTGTCACAGGGCCTGCCTTCCGACACTTCCTTTATCCGCACTCCCTGTGAACAAAAAAAAAAACAAATTACTTAAATTATTCATAAAATATTGTTTTAGTTGAAGAATTTGGCGCACTAAGCTCTAACCTCGACGTATTTTTCGACAGTATTAAACTCATTAAAATGCTGGGACATACTCCAAACTGAATCATCCTTAGAATTCCTTGGCTGATGTTTGTCAAGTATTTCTTCGTCTTTATTTGTTTCGTCGTCTGAATCGCATTCACTATAACTATCTGAGGTAGTATCGCTGTCTCTTCTATTGGTGAAAATCTTAAATATCCCCGTCTTTTCTCTCCATGATTCTCCGTCAAAGCTGCCGTTCCTGCGGTGTTTCTTCCTTGTTATTTTAAAAGGAACTTGTTTTAGTTTTGGCTGCTTGAAGGAGACCCTTCGTTTTATTGTTTTCTTGTAAAACTTCTCGTAATCTTCTTCTGACACCCCACAGTGGTAAAGAAGGAAATCTTTTCTTATCTGCTCCCTTCCAGCGAGATCCCTCCAGTACGTTTCCTTCTTTCTCACTCCAAGATAGTAATCCAATTCTCTATCTCCTAAATCTTCCTCGTCCCTTTCATCATTATTTTCGACATCTTTATTGGAATCTCGATTGTCGTTTCCCACGCCTTCTTCTACCAGGCTTGCCAACAGACGATACTTTCTTGTATTTGGCATTTTCTTAAGCAGGTTGGCGGTATTAGATGTTAGAAATTTGGTTGTTTTCCTGTAGACTGTTGCGACAGATTCTCGACGTTTTTTCAAGTTATTCATGATTATTATGCCAAGAAAACGCGTTTAAAGTTTTCTTTTAACAATTTTTCAAGATTTTAGACAGTTCAAGTTCATTCCAAAACCTCTATCATTTTGCAATGTGTACCGGTTATTTTTTTTATTACAATCTTCAGTTTTAAGAGATTATTTTTTAAATATATTTTCAATATTGATGGAAGAGAACAAAGACGTATTGATATAAAGAACACCAAAGTAGAGGGTAAAGAGGGTAGTTACACGTGCCTATGATCGCGGGAAACTAGACAAGGTTTTATTGCTGGGATACAATTGTTAGAATGACGTGATCATGGTCACCTGCCAATGAACGCACGAGGTTCCCATTGTCCAATTTAGAGAGACCTATAACCGTGTATTTCATTTTCCCACCTTAACGGTTTATACCTTTAGGCAGAGGCGGTTCGAAGGATCACCGTATAGTGGTCATTGTGGGTGGTTGTATCGCTTTAAGGGTGTGGAGTCTTTACGATCAAGCAAACAGAACTAAATGTGTCCATCGCAAATGACTCGACAAATTGCAACACCCTTGGATAGAAATAGCTCGTAAAATTTGACCCTTATTAGTACATTGTTCATTGTGAGGTAAGTGAGTGCTTGTTGTAGAAAAAATATAAACAATTTACTAAAGTTATTGAGAAACTTAAAAGAAACTAAAATAATTAATCTTTGCCAACATAAAATTAAAATAGCTCATAACTTCAAAAAGCGCCATCTATGAATCGTACTTATAACTAACTAAAAGAAATAAGAACTACATGACCGTTTAGCGTCATCTGTTAGAAAAATGCATTGTGAAAAAGTTTGCTGACAGCGCCATCTGTTATTGGATAGGACATTTTTTGTATTTGGTTTAAGTAACTATTATATTTATTTATATCCAGTGAAATCAAAGTCAGCTATGTGTGCTTTACTGAAAAAAAAACTGGGCTTTCCCCCGTTTTTTGACTTAGCGGTTATTATTTTTCTTCATTGTGATTAAAGCACATAAATTATTATGAAAATTAATTAACTGGATTTTTGATAAGCATAGACAATAAAACGAAATTATCCGCGTTGATTTATTATCTATTACACACTATATACCACATAATTTAAAATTATTATGAATATTAAAGAATCGATTTTTAGATAAGCATTTCCTACTTGATTTATTATCTATTTATTTAAAAAAATAATATTTCGGAAGAGCTTTCTGAAGCTGCGACTAAACAAAAATATTCATTAACTATTTATTATGCGAATAAGGAAAATTAAAATAATAAGTAAAAATTGACTTCAAAAACTAAAAAGAAAAACATAATTTTCACGTAATGTAATAGGTTATGAAGTCTTAACTATGGCTTTAAGAAAATTATATGGAAATTATTAAATATTTAAAATTTTTAGTTCTGAACTTTCATTATATTTAAGTTTAAATTGCTTGGGATGGACTAAGCTACTAATGCTACGACCTCAAGGAAACGACTCGAGTGTTGTCTAAATAGTTACATTAGAACCTTCAACTCCTATTATCGACCCTAAGTGTCGAATTGGGTCCACAAATTTAAATGGGCACTGAATATAAAAATAATTATTAAAATAAAATACTTTTAGGGAGCGTGACTTTAAGAATTTGAGCATGATTTTATCATCACTTAAAATATCCGTAGATTTTATTCTGTGTTTATCTAAGGAAACAAGAAAATACGAATGAAGATTTTCATTCGTATTTTAAAGAATGAAGAAAGTCCAAATTTACGAATCTTTGCTAATGCACCTATGATCATTATTAACGGTATTCTTATCAGGTTACAATGAATGTCGAGATAGAGACGTTTGAATGAATGTGCCAGGAAGTTATGGTGTGTGTGGTCTATAGTACATCTATGTTGTGACGGCATAATATAGTATATACGTATTATAGTAGTATCCATCACCCCATTTAGTTTTTTTTAATAGAATTAGGATAACGGAAGAGTACACATTCCCCCTGATAGTAAGTAGATGATGTGCTCCATTAACATCTATCCTTAATTAAGATAATTAATCCTCAATTTATAAAATCTACATCTATAATTAAAATGCAGATGCGTTGGTACCCCTGAGGAATAAGATGGAATGCCGCATTTCCAGTATAAAGAGTGTCCGGATCTCTATGGAGGACTATTTTGCGCTGATATACTGTGAGTATTACGTGACGAAGGGTAAAGATGGAGTAACGGATCCATTGGGGAGCTTCTGTTTTATATTGATGCGCGTGAGGCTAAGAATTTCGATCATACATGCCTAGTCGTATGGTGCTACCACACTATTCCATTTTGTATAATGTACAGATTTCTCTCATGCCTAAAAAAATTGCAGGGTTGGACAGAGTGTGCTGTATTGTCCCAATGCATAGACAGAATTTACACGGTCTTGAAATGTGTTTTTTAAATTAATAGAAATGCAGATTTCCTCAAAATTTTTACCTATGTCGTAAAACAAGTGGTAAATCAGCATTTATAATTATAATTTACAATTCTACTGGAGTTCATCAATGACTCCTAACTCATAAAGCGCACTTGTGTAGTCTGAATGAAGTAATTCGCATTATGCATTTATAGTATAGGGTTAAATACGATATGCGGAATCAAATGCACATTCCGCATAGAACAATGGCTTTCATTAGACTGAGAAACCGTACTGCCGACCGTGGATTTATGAACTAAGCTGGCGTTTTATACTAGATTAACATCGTGATTGGTATTTTATTTTTATTATAACATTACGGGTATAGTTTATAAGTTTTTATACTTCATAATAATTAGCGCCCGTCTAAAACTGGCGGTGTGTTTTCGGCGTAAATATGGGTTGGAAAAATATGTGGTTTTATTAGGATAATGGGATTATTAGAGTAAGTGATTAAAACTGTCGAAATAAAGGCACGATAACTTGTTGTCATCACGAAGAGATGAAAGGAAAGACCTAAGGTAGTATGGTAAGGAAAGACAAATAATGCTACCCATGCTTGCTTGCTCGAATCCGCCGTTAGACCACTGTTGTGAATCACTCCTAACGCAAGTTAGGTTAGGTAACGCAAGTTCAAGGGAATATTACTAATGTTGATAGCACTGCTGATAACAAAAAAGTATAATATATTAATATCCATGTGCTGTGTTCCCATCAGTGGTGACATCTATCGAAGTATTATCGGTATAATCTTCTTTATGTCAGACCATAAATATATTGACCGATGAAGCATTGGCAAATTCAAATTCACATTCGTTTATTTGCCAGAGTGTACAATAAAGTATGATCTTAAATTATGTCTAATGGCCCATTTACATTCTACCACTTTATATGGTGTGCAAATATTTTATAATGCAAAAAAATTAAACAACAAATGGGAGTTCAATTTCCTACATTTATGATTAATTGATGTCAATTTCATGTCATTTAAGTAATAGGTTTTAAAATGTCTTTTTTTTAAAAAGAATATTAACATTGCTATAAACATTACTAATATTCCCCTTAACCACTCGTGGTAAGCTTAAATTGCTTGTGTTACGAGTGGTTCACGCCAGTATTCGAATGGCGGATTCGAACCCACGACTTTTGGCCGTGATCGTCATTTATACATTTCACTATTCAATACATTTAAAACATTGTGTAATGATTGTTCTTATTTGTTAATGTCCATACTTTCAGGTTGTTCATAATTAATTAAACAAAAAGACATAAATTCATTTAGGTCGTAAAAACATTTTTCTTTTAAACTTTTTTTTAAACATGGTTAAAGGTAACTCTTTAAAGTCGTTGGGTATTTTGTTATACACCTTTATAGCATTTACGTAAGAGTTCCTTTCATACAATTTTAGCCTGCATGGAGGTAAATACAGTTTATGTTTATTTCTAGGAGCTACATTTCGATCAGGTAAGTCAAAAGTACAAGATGTGTGCTGCTACGATCGCCAAATCGCCCCTTAATCGTGGCGACTATGACGAATATTTCCATTACGGAATGGGCCTATGTCTAGCAGTGGACTGATATGGACTGAAACTGATAATAATAAAGTCCTTCAGACCGAATTTCGGTCAAGGCGGCCAGTCTCCAACGGAGGCTAGCTATCTGCAAAGAAGAGAATATACAAGAGGATCGTACTAATGGGATATTGGGCTTGCGATTGTGTAGGCGATCGTTTAGCTACCTCTTACTTTTTTCACAATTTACCGTCTAATACCTATTTTTTTAGCTTATCATAGTCTCCTCCCTCGTGCCTACCCCCTCGGCGATTACAGAAATGAAGTATATAAATGTTAATTTATTTATAGCATTGAGTGACAAACGAGCACACAATCAACTTGATGGTAAGTGAATGCTGTTGCCCATAGACATCCACATTTATCTTCAATTAAGAATCGAAACGCAAATGCGTTGTCACCCCTGAGGACTAAGATGGAATGCCAGTAAAAGTTTCTCCGGTTCTCTACACTCACCATACACAACACAGCAGTATTACGTTGTTATTTTATGTTGGTATACTGTGAGAGTGTGATCCTGCCCCGGTTGAGCCGACCCATTCGTTTTACAACTATAATATAGTTATAGCTGCAGTGTGACTCTACCACGTAATAAAATATTTAATATCACACAATGTTTAAAACACTGTCTCGTCACCACTTCCAAAGGTTGCAAGGTCACATAGAATCGTTTATTTGACTTCTGTAATACCCACGGGACCTAGCGTCCCGTTTTATTTCCTCTATAATCTAGAACAATTCATCCTGCAATAATTCAACGTCACCGCAACAGTATTTTATGAGAAATATTGTCGTGACGTTTGAAAAGTTTGTTCAATATTGAATTATTAACTCACTTTATCTATACAGATAAACAAAATTGAACTGTCTGTCTGCATTATACAAATAACTGCTTTTTATTGAGCTCCGCGGATTATTTGCACGACATCAAGACACGAATAACCGTTTCGGAAATTGTCTGAATTTCTACCCGTCTGTCTGTC